TCTTTCACCGATCCGAAAATATATTTTATTCACGCACATACATATGTGAATGTAGGATAGACGTGCACAATACGGTGCGATACGGTGTATTCGCATTATCCTTGGACCGAACGTCAGCCGCACTTGCCTACGTTTATCCGCATTAACTCGTGAAACGACGCGCATCCAACGACACGGCTCCGTTACTTATCGACTTACCCCGGCTTTCCATCCTCGGATAAACAAAGCGTTCCTTAAAACATTCGTCGATTATTTCCTCCTCGTGCCCGGTGTATCCAGTCAACCGGCGAAGCCCGCTATAATTTGATCACGCGGGTCGGGCATCACCGCAACATCCGCTCCGACGCAGTCGCACGATCTCGGGCGATCCACAGGCGGAAAGCAATAAGATCGAAGATAAATTAAACGAAACTCGACGGGGCAGAGAGGAGAGGACAGCGGTGGTAGTGGTGGTGGTGGTCCCCCCCCCCCCTCCGCGACCGTTCGATCGGCGCGATCGACGATCCGCGACGGTGTCTCGATCGCGATCGATCTGAGATTACATCGCGCGGAACGGCGGAAGATGCCTTCCTGAGGAGCGTTCTGGGTCGCCAGCAGCTCGCAGCTCTCGGAATTCAACGTGGCGGGTTTCGCGGTAGCCGTAAACAATGGCTCGGCGGAGCCGCGCTACTACGTGGATCACCTGCATCGACAGCACGTGCAGCTGCAGCAGCAACAACAGCAACATCAGCCGCAGCCTCAGTCTCAGCGTCAGCAGCAGCAACAATCGGCACGCTATCCGGTGCAGATGTTTTCCGGTCACGCGCCAGCCTTGGCCGCCAAGGAGGCCGTCTTCGAGCCGCCACTGCGCCGCGACGACCTCGTCTACGTCCATTGCGCGACCACGGAGGACGAGGAGGTCGTCGAGGACGAGGAGGAAGAGTCCAGGGGGCTCACCAGGTCTAGGTCGTGGCTCTGCTGCCCCAATGATCGCCGACCCGATAAGACCGTGCCCATACAGGTCGAGGCCAATAAGGACAAGCAAAATGCAGTAAGTTTTTCCGGACCGACCGCGGGTGATCTAGGTGGGAGGGAGAGGCAAAGCCGAGAGAGGGAAGAAGAAAGTTGCGTCTAGAAATAAATCTTTAATTAAACTTCGGAGTTGGCGTTAAGAAATTTACATTTCGCGCGAGGAAATCCGCGAAACTCGCGTCTCCCCCCCTTGAATAAGGAGCTCACAAAGGAGATCACATATTCGGAAAAAGTTCTTTTTGAAATTTGAAAATTTGAGTTTTGAAAAATCTTCTCGTGAATTTTGATCTCGTCCCCGGGGTGTGTCGTCCTGATATCTCTCGTCGCCATCTGTCGCGTAAGCGCGCGGGATTCGGCGGCTGATTTATCGCGCGACGCTGACTTTTTCCATTCGCGCTCACGATATGTGACATCGCGTCCTGATATACGCTGCCAGGAAAACCTGTCAACGACTCGATACACAGCAGCAGAGCCAGCCGGGCAAGCATTGCTCTTTTCAGACTTCCGTGGCTTTGCAGTCGAGCTCGGGCGCGACGATAAATCACCGCGCCGCCGCCGTCAGTCATACAAATGAAAACACAAAAGAACTTTTACTCGATAAATTGCACGTCAGCACGTAATGAGAGAGTCGATACGGACAAATCCGACAGCGCTTTGCCTATTCGCGAATAATGAATTTCGCGGATCTCTTTTGGGAATTGTGTCTTGTGTATTGATATCCGCTGAAAGGACTTCGCATTTATCGCCGATTTTACAATTGTACATTGAGATTTTAAAAGCTTTAGCTGCGAAGTTATAACATCAAAATTATTTTATATAAATAATACTGATTATTGATTGTCAAAGTTGATTGATTGCGAGGAAATTGCGACAAAACTTATACGCAGTCTTTTTTCGAATGAGTTCTTAAAGTTCGGAAAGGTCTGGAAGAGCTTCAAATAGAAAAAAAGGATAAAGGATATCTTTGTATCGATTTACGACAGGCGACTTTTTTTCTAATTTATCACCCGGTGATAATTTTACTTCGCAACACGGAAGTAGATTAAGCTCTTGTTTCGCACATCCACGTGCTTACAATATTTATGACGTGTATCCTAGGGCATCACACCCTTTTCTCATCGCTGTCTCCACAGACATTAGTGTCTCCGCTTCGTCGCGCGCACCCTCAGTTTTTCGACAAATTTCTCCCGGGCTAATCTCACGATGGTTACGATGGCTGAGAAAACTTCCGTCGTTTCTTTCTCCCTGCGCGTAACTTTTGTGAAAATTACTTCCGAGTAATATCCGATAAAGCGATTTGAGTTGGACCATCGCTAGTTGAAACACACAGTCTGGATATATCTTTCTGCAAGATATATGGTAGAAAAGTGTAGAAAAGTATCGATGACATTTTTATTAGTTTTTTCTATAAATAGCTTTCCTCTACGAATAGAACACGCCTATTTTATCCTCATAAAAATAAAATGACTTTTGAGATAAACTTAGCGTACTTTATATAAGCATCGCTTTTTATTCCAAGATTATAAATATTATATTTAATCCTTAATTGTGAATATTATACACCAGAGATGCGAACTCTAGAGACTCGTACTTTTGATATAAAAAAAGGGAAATAAAAAATAAATAATCGTAATCTCTACATATACGCTCAGCTACTATATTTTCTTGTGTCTTTTTTTTTAAAATTAATCGCGCACAAGAATCGGGTTTTAGTTCTTTTGCTTAGAAAGAAAAATTGCAAAATGAACGGTCCCAGTGACTCTACGTGAAAAGAACAATTCAAAATTAAATACGTAACACAAGAAAGAAAAAAATATACGATCTTGTTGTTGCTGCTTTCGAAGATCGATCCCACGGAGAATTAAACGGATCTTTGCCTCGGAGGAAACGCACGAGTCTCGCGAGTCTCGGCGGTCAACGCGGCGGGAAAAGGTGAGAGTAATAATCGCGAAATCGCCGCGATCGCGGAAACGATCGGCCGCGGCCGCGGCCGCGGCCGCGCCGGCCGTACGGAGATCGGACCAAATTGCACGACAACGAGAGAGAGCCTCGCGATTTCCGTAATGGATCTTCGCTCACTTCGCGTGGCTGGCAAAACACGCGCGAATCATGAAATCAGCAGACGCCTACCACGGTCGCATTCCACGGTGCGTTCCGTAGGACGCACAATTGAGGCATTTGTACATCGGGTACATCGCGGGACTGCCAGCCGAGTCACATACGTGAAGTTTCCGCCATAGAAGAGGGGCCATATCGTTAACGTTTATGAGTTGCTTGACATCGACGAAAACATAAAGTGCACGCGCGCTCGAGGATGATTTATATCTAAGAATCAAGAGAAGGAAAACAATGGTGACATGGAGAAATTTAGAAGAAAAAAAGTCAGAAAGGACGAACAGTAGAAAAATCTTAGAAAAAAATCTAAAATTTTTTTAGAATGTTCGAAGAACAAGTTGAGGTCTTTGTAACGCAGATATACTTTGCGTTATTTTCGTTACTGCAAGCTAATTCAATTTTAATTTATACATTACTTGTATCAAGTGCCGTGCGTTACATCGTTAACGTCTCATTTATAACTCTTTAATTAATATTAATTTATCGCATCGCATTATGCTAGGTGTAATTTTCTCGAAGGGTAGCACTTTTGCGAGGGTACAAGCACAAGAAATTCTTCGCTGCAAAAGCGTAACAATCGTGATCGGATCAGAAATAGCTTTGAAGCTCGTGCCGTATCAATGAGAAAAAGGTATCGCGCAGGTATCACTTCTCGGTTCGCTGGACCGCGAAATATCCAGCATCTTTCATTTTTCTCCTCTCTTTACCCTCTTCCTTCACCTCGCTCTTTCTTCGCGTATCTCACCCACGCGTGGGTATAAGATGCCGTCATTTGTATGCTCTTTTCGATATAGGTTAATGGTATATGGTCCGCGGGGATCTCTTTACCCGACACCTCCGCTCTGCCGACTGGCTCAAGTGCGTCCGTTCCTTTTTTTTTCTTCTTCTTCTTTTTTACAACACGAAAAGTTACTCTTTCGAGAAATATTGTGCGTGCTTCTTCATACCTCGTTCGGCTGCAACCGGAGCGTATTTTTAAACGCTTAGAACCGCCTCCGAACCGCTGGAGCGCAACGCGCGAAACTTCGTTAAGAAACTTCGCATTTCAAATGCAAACATCGTCTTAAAACTCGTTAATCGCGAAGTCGTCAAAATTATTTATTTTTCACCGCGATACTTAGTTGAACTCGGTATTTGTTAAAGCAGAGTATGACAAACTCGGTACTACGTCACAAATACAATATTATCTTTACAATCACGTCTGTAACAAACGGATCCAAGAGGACTTTGAATCGTATCAATTTTTGCTACACAATTTAAGTCTCAGGATTAAAAACTTAATTTAAAATGTCTACAAAATTTCTAGTTATTACAACTCAAGTTCTAATGTGTTACATGTTACATGTTACTCCTCGGGGATCAACTATCACTTATCTCACGCGTTTTACACGCTTCGTGCGAAACGTTCCTGGTCGCGATTCTTGCAGCTGCGAAAGAAAAGAAGGTACAAGATGAAAATTATATCCAAATTAATTGCGAGCGGACACAGTCCGACGTGTACGAAGGCGAGTTCGGTAATCGAATCTCTCGCTCGTGACCTTACTCGCCGATGAAACTGCAAACCGCCGCGCGGCCGGCCGGCCGGCCGGCCGGCCGGCCTTGTAATTGAATCCTTGATTGCTTTTTGTTTGAATTACACTCCGGCCGTCGTGTCCCCCTGTTTGCGCTGGGCCGACACACGCGCGCGCACCCCTGACCTTAACCGGGCCAGAGAGGATCCTCCATGAATGGAACATCGCGAAAATTACAAGGCCTTGTCGAAGCACGCGGTTACACCAAACATTCCCTCGCAGAAATCAGCTATCCTCGGCCTTTACATGCCTGAACGCGTATCGCGTTTATACGTGAAACGCGAAATGACACGTTTCTCCATCCTCGATTAAACATCTTTTTATTAATACAAAAAGCGTGCAGATACAACGAGGGAGTTGACGGTACGGTAAAGATCGTCTCCCTTTGTGGTCTTGTGGAATCAGGGTTTCGGCCCGCAAGTCGGCACCGGATCTGTACCGCAGGTGCCGGCGTTACAACGAGGTGGGGCCATCATGCAGGGTCTGTCGTCAGGACAAGGCGGTGCATCGTCGCAGGTTTTTCCTGGCAAATGAATGTAGTCATCAGTCTCATCCGCTGCCATGACTGCCGTCGAAAGTACGATGACGGCGACGGCCATCAGGAGGGCGATAGTTAACTTCATCCTTGATCAATCTCGATCACCTATTATGTGACAGCACAAAATGTGATTTACGCGTTCTCGCGCGGAAATCAATGAAGCTAATTAACCCCTTCGCGGAAGGCGAACGATTTTCGACGGACGCGGGAGACGAGTGCAGGGTCATTTTGACCCGTAATAGAATTTCTATTGCAAACTGGACTTTTAGGAAGAAATTATATATAAAAGCGCATTTTGAACAACGTGTACTTATCTCTTTTAATTTTTTCTACCTGATACATGAGATAAATATCTGATAAGAGATGTCCCTTCGAACACCGTCATTAATCAAAGTGACCGCATTCGTCGTACGATTAAAAATATAATAATACGTCGAGGGTTAAAAATGTAATAAATAAGTAAAATTGAATTAACAGATCAAGAGACGCGATAGCGTTAAGTATATCGATAAATCCTAACTGAATGTACAGAAAGAACGCGAGTTTTTTTGCTGAAGAAAGAATCTAAAAATTTTTGGCTAGATCTGAAAATAATTTTTGTTAGACCGTCAAAATAATTATATAAAATGGAGTAACTTTGCATCAAATTTTTAAAATGTTTATTTCTTATGCTGCTCAGCAGATTGCTCGATTTAATTGATTCTGACATAAAAAATGTTGATAGTAGCTAATGCTACTTACATTTTTATAAAAGTTGAAAGATTATATTATCACAGCTGTCAAAACAATAAATTTTGATAGAACTATTTATGCATAATGAAAGAATGAAGGTATAAGCTAAAATCTCTAATTAATTTAGTTTTTTCTTTTTTTTTGTCACGTGTCAAATAACTCTGTCGAGATTTATTATTTTAATAGCTGTGATAATATAATCCTTTTATTTGAATAGACACTACAGATGTACGCTATTTATTTTCTGACACATTACACGTTGTTCAATTAAATATAAAATTCTATCAGTTTGTATCACAATAATATATACATCAATCAACATTAATATAATCATTTTCTGACCTATATCTGACCAAATTTTTAGATACTTCAGCAAAATTGTTCTTTTCTCATGAACTTCTCGCGATAAAGTCTTTCTAGATCCTTATTAACATCACTAATCAAGCATCAATTAAATTATGAATTAATATTACAGTTTCAACTTTGGTATTGCGTTTCATAAACAAATAACAATCAATCGTGTGGTTAAAAACAAGGAATGTATACCTTCACAAAAGTACAATTAGACACTTAGAGATCTTATCCCAGAAAAAAGCCCAGAAATGTCTATTCTTATAATATCTATTTTATATGTTGACCGACATATTCACTTATTAAAGTGTATAAAAATTTAATAATTTAAGGGAACTGATATGAAAAAAGTTGCACGAGCATCCGGTGATGAGAGCCGCGACAAAATTTTTCTCGGTTCGCCAAGCGGTTCGTTACCTGATCTTCTCGCGCAGCAGAAAGTTGAGCACAACGTCAGCGCAGCACCGATGATATCGCGTAGATGAATGTCGTGTCACCGCGCGACGCAACGCGTTCTTATGCGTTGCGACCCGCTCCTCGCTTCCTCTTCGCAAGTAATCTTGGCAATTATGTGGCCGATTATCGTCGATGTCTCGTAACGTCCGATATGGTTGGCTGCCTCTGCGAAGGACGCCCGTGTTTGAACGCGTTTTTTTTTTTTTTTTTTTTCCTACGCACTTCCCACGTGAGTAAGAGGGAATCGCGATTGTCCGTGTGAAGAGGAAACGAATGGACCTATGACGTGTCTTGATCCGTGTCGGTGATACGAGCTATTTTAATTCCCTCTACAATAGCCGCAGATCTCGGTTGATTCGCTGTAATAATCACTCGGCGGTATTACGTAATCAAATGCAAATTCGCGAACGTGTAAACGTGAGTCAGGTGCGAAGTGTACCTGCGCATTTTAATTTCCGCGCATTAGATCTTGCATGATAATTACATCTATTTTTAAGAAAAGTATATTTAAGACTCCTGCTAACTCAGCGCGGCCATTTTAGATTGATGATGTCAGGATTAATAACGCGCATAACACATGACAACAATTTTCTTAAAATACGTTAAAATAGGTATATCTTTCAGTAAAGCAACATTCGTAATCGATAAAAAAACTTGTAAAATCTATTGAAAACTCCCCTTTTGTTTTGATAATCGATAAATAATAATATATTGAGTAATGAAATTGTGTCTAATCAAGAATGAAAACAAGCTTCCAATTCTAGATATATATAGTTGTTCTTTAATTATCAAAACAAAAAGAGACTTTTCAATATGTTTTACAAGTTTCTATCAATTGTTATTTAGGAATTAACGTTTTGAAGTTCTGATATATTTTGTTATATATGAAATAATATTTCCATTTAATATATTTTATATGACGTTTCATCGTGTTTTTCTTTTTGGATGAATTCAATCAAGGTGGTTGCAGTGGTTCACCAACAGCCTTAAGTCTTCCTAAATAATTAATATCTAATTGCAAGAAAAAAATTCAATTTACTTTAGACGAATTGTAATGGAGCATTTACTCCTTGAAAAAAAAATCTAGAATTTTTAGAGCACTTTTCTTTTCTTGAAAACATCATACGTAAAATTACAAAATCGTATCTGACACAAATTATTTGCTAATTTTAAAATGAGTAACGGAGCTTAATGACAAAAAAAAGGATCCTTTTTTCTTTTTAGAAATTTTCATATATTGGAAGTCCATTTTCTTTCGCAGCTTCACGCGGCCGCGCTCTCCTCCCTGCGGTCCGAGGTGGCCGAGCTGAACTCGCGGCTGGTGGCGGCTACTCGTGCGCGGGAGACGGCCGAGGCCGCGCTGATGCGGACGGAGGTCCAGGCTGCCCGCGCCGAGCAGCGGGCGGAACAGCAGGCGGCGCGGCATGAGGAGAGGCTCACCGAGTTGCATTCCGTCATCGCCGAGCTCGGCAGGCAGCTGGAGCGGCATCGCGCCACCGTAATTGCCGAGGAGGACGACTCTGGTAAGGGTCCCGGTCTGCTCCACTTCGCTCCGATACTTCGGCGCGACACCTGAGAGAGAGAGAGAGAGAGAGAGAGAGAGAGAGAGAGAGTGTCGGAGTGATTCCGCGATTTCCGATTTCGCTCGGCGAAGAATAGCGAGAGAAACGAGAGAGGAAGGGAGAGCGTCTCTTCGGATCTTCGTGGGTAACGAGAGTGCCATGGCTAAATTCCCCGATGGGCAATCAGTGAATCTCCTCAGACTCCGACGATAATAACGATAGTAATAGCTCTCTCTCTCGGTGGCGCGCGCTCTCCATTCCTTCGGTCTTCCTTCTCGATTCCGAGAAGAAGAGCGATCTCTTAGGCGGTTGCATACCGTCGTCGTCGCGCGACCTGTCGCGCGAGTCAAACGCTTCTTGTGACAAGTAGCCGAGGCTGATGGAGTAGATTCGTTTCTCCGAATCGCGATTGTCGCGAGCGAAGTCCGCGCGAGGTATCGAGCATATTAATGGCTCGCTGGCCGCGATCTAAGGAGATGGTCTTAATGATGCGCAGAAATCGAGACGAGCAGAGACGCCGAAGGCTCCATCACCAACCCGGTGGAGGAGAGCGAGGGCGGCGGGGACATTCAAGGAGATGGCGATCGTACTCTGGGCGATGCTGATTCCAGCTGCTGCGAGGACGAGAATCGACCGGCAGAGGTAAAAGAATACGGGAAATCTCTGTCGAGGACACACGAGAGTGTAACATTTCGTATATTCTATATTTAATGCAATTAAAAAAAAAAATAAAACACATTAATTATTTTTAATATAGAATGGCAGAGAGCAATTGGATAGTCCAGCCGCGTTGCCGACACCCGAGCCGACGCAGCAAGCGGCGTCATGTCAGAGTGTTGCCGTCGCGACGCTGCAGGAGGAGATCACGGCGTTACGAGCGGAGATCACGAGTCTGCAGGCCCAATTGATTCATTTCAAGAGCCAAAGTCAGAGTGGCAATCAGAGGCAAACGACGAGCAGCGATTCGCCGCGTCGAGAACTTAGAGTGAGCGGCGATTCCTCAGGATTCGATTTTTTTTTTTACGTCAAAACAAAACTGTAATATTCTATACATTTTGCTAAAAAATTAATATTAATAAAGACAAAGAAATTGAAAGAGCAAAGATCAATAGTAAAATAGAGAAAAACAAAGAGCTGTTAATAAAATGCAATAACTCTTCGTTTGTTGCCCTTTGTTTTACTCTTTCACTTGTCGCCTCTTCTCCCCGCAGATGAGGGGCAACACCAGCTCGCCGGAACCTTTGACGGCGCCATGCTCGCCACTCTTGCCACCGTTAACACCTCCGACAAAGAGTGTAACGAGGGAGGAACCGCCGGTTCTCAAAATGGCAGAGAGAGTGAGGTTGAGGAGGACAGACGAGAGGCACATTACCGGTCCGGATATCACTAATCTCGGAGTACGAATTACATTTGCAAAATATATCGTTTGTACACACACACACACATATATATATATATATATATATCTTCCGACTTTCTTTTTTTTATTTTGCGATGAATGCGCAAACATTATACAACATGTGATGAATGCACGAACGTTATACAATATGTTCTACTAGGTGTGCTCCACAATGGTCGCCGAGCATCTCGTGTCGGATCTTCTGGAGCAATCGAATCTACAGGAATTGAACGGCTCTGAGAAGCAGTTCGAGGTCGAGACGGAGCGGTTAAATAGCAGACTCGAGCACGCGCGGGCGAACAACGCGGTTCTCGCACTCACGTTGCACGAGAGCAAGGCGCAATGCGACAGGTATTGTTCATCAAAATAGCACGGATGAACAAATGGATGACAATTTTTTTAAGTATCTAAATTCTTAATCTTTCTCGACTCTACGTTTAAGTTTCCAAAGAAATTCCTCGCGAGATTTTATATTTCGTAAATATGTGGGAGGAGGAGAGGATTTGAATTTGCTATCTACTGAGTATTAGTTCGCCGCTGTTCGCACTGATCCAGGCATTACTTTTTTTCCGTATTACAGATTGAGCTTATTAGTCGGCAAGTATGAATCGAACGCGACGGCATTGCGACTCGCACTTTCATATAGCGATCGTGCAATCGAGGCTTATGACGTTCTAGTCGCTTTATTGGAGAGCGAAATTGCGCTCTCCACCGAGAGAAACAGCGTGACGATCGATAATAGAAGGGCGGCCGAAAATGTTGCGTATCACGTCCTAAACAGACTCGAGAATGATTGTACTAATACGCTGGGTGCTCCATGGGAAGACAGCATGGTCTTATCGGACGAGTAGGTATTTTACATTGGGCACAATATTTGCAATTTTTTACCACAAATGCTTTTTCGATAGATCGGAAGTAACGTGGAATGTGGAAGACGAGCAGCGACTCAGAAGGCACATCGGCAGACTGAAGGGAGAACGTACGATGGTCAGATCAACGGCGGTCGAACTGGAGAGCGTGCATGCGGAACCTTTAAATTCAAAGAACACCATTTCTCTAGCGGAGGCTAGGAAACTCGATTTAGAAACGGCCGTGCTAATGCAGGTCAATGTCTAATTAAATTAAAATTTGAGAGAGAATAATTTGAAATACAAAAATGTTTAAACGACAGAATTCAGAATTTATGAAATTAATTTCATAAGAATTTAATATGTTTAGGAATTAATGGCCATGCGAGAAGATAAGGCTGAATTACGCGCCCGGGTGTTTCTTCTGGAGAAAGAACGCGCTACGATAGAATTGAAGCTAAACGCACGTGACACACAGATTGCGGCGCAACATGCTACTATACAACATCTTCAAGGCCAACTGAGCGACGCGGAAGCTATGCTTGCAATGGCGACAAATAAGGTATATAAAGTAATCTTTGAGTCGCTCGTTTTCCGCTCGTTTTGATTAACCGAAACTGCGTTTAGGACCGAGGTTTGAGCGACAATGAGAGTGAGGGAATGGAGTCTGAATTGATTGAAGCACTTGGCAGGGAGGCGAGATTGAAGGAACGCTTGCAGGAATTAATCTCAACTTTAGATGAAGTCAACAAGAATTCTGAACTTAGGCATCAGCAATCCGCCGAACTAATCAACGACTTGAAAAGGGCTAATGGGTAAATATTATGAAAAATTTGCCCGTTGTATGTATGCTTGAAAGGAAAATAAAAATGCCCTTGCTCTCCTCAGAGCTCTGGTTCAAACTTTGGAAAAGTCGAAGAAGAAATATCAATCTAGATTAAAGAAGCTGGAGCAACAGATGCTGGGAATGGTAGAGAGACATGCTGCACAGGTATGATAAAATATAAAATTTAATGAAAAAGTAATGGAAATTAAGGGATTCATTATTTTTCGAATAACTATAAGGGCAACAAGTTACTTTTTAAAAGTAATTTCCTCAATTTTGATTAAATATAGGTGAAATATTCACAACAATCGCTCCATGTTTATAAAAACAGCAATAATTTATTACACTACATACATTCTTCTATGGTACTATTTCTTCTGCAACTCTTCCCGTCTTTCCTTTAGTCTCTGTTCGAGCAAATCCTCTAGGTCGTCAAGTGGTCTGTAGATTTGATGAACGTACTGTGCACCAGCCAGCATTGTGAGCAATGCTGCTACACAGAATGTAATGTATCGTGGAAAAGATATATGTGACATTTTGGTGTGTCCCAATAGAAACTTAATACAGAAATTAGCCTCGCTGTTCCTGTCGCAGTCTTTCTTCCACCAATTCCTCCACTTTCCGGCGTTTGTATGTCTTGTAGAAGTTAACCTCTCCTACGTGCCAGTGAATCATAAAATATTCCAAGGCGGCTCCGGCGACAAAAAATAATGGCAGCAATCGGTACTCGCCGAGCACTTTTCCTGGCAATTTTTTATATAATTTTCTAAATTTCGCTCTATAAGGTGACATCGAGATATCTAAACTTTACTCGCCAAACTGTTCCTGCTAGCTGACTACTGCCATATTGAATTGCTTTGATATGCACGCATGTGCGCTGTGCGTGAATGCTCCCTTCCCGAATATTACGTAAACGTGCGATTTCCGAATTATAAAAGAAAGAAAAGACTATTTCATATTTATATTATAACATTTTAAAATATTTTATTAGATATTTTAATAAAATTTATCTATAAATATATTTAACATTAAATATTAGGATTAATAAATGACATCAATTTTTTGATAATATCGATAATTGTTTCATGACTATCATGATTTTTAGAATAAATTTTAAAAGAAATTCTCCCAGTTTACCGCAATTATCAATTTTCTGTCACTTACAGGTAAAAACACTGAAGCAACGGATAGCTTTGTTGGAGGAGGAATCATTGGGTTATAAAGGAATGGCATTGCAGTCTCAAAGTTCTGGTGCCAGCGAAACGTCCTTATGACAGTTGAGTGATTAAATGGCGAAAGTAAGACGCAACAGTGCAAACTTAGTAATCCAATAGTCACTCTTAAACATCTTTCTTGCTGTCGCGAGAATGTAGGATTGAACGCAAAATGGAAATCGAACTCACACACGTATTTTTTTACACCGAATAGTCGAAAGGCGCTTAGCTATTCGCTTTGTAATATCATGATATATATTGCTGCTGTCCTAACAATAAAACGAAAAAAAAGAAAAAAAAAGAGAGAGATCCAACTGGGCCTAGGTAATGTGTGCAATGTGTCGATACACAAATGCAAAACAGCCTTCATAAAGCAGAATTTTCAGCACATCGTAAATTACAAATAGTTAATTAGTTGTGTTTCGCTATCGGTTACAACAGTGATAATCGCCATGTACATATGTATATTGTAAAGGCATAAACCACAAGTGTGATACGTGTAAACTATAATGAAATAAACTGTGCTTTATTATAGATATCCCCCAGAATGCGTTCACAAATACTTACTATAAAATTGTTGTTTCATATAAATTACTTATTTTTACTTATCAATATATATATATATATATATATATACACACAAAAATTCATTAAACGTCCTGATTCTCCTGCTGCTGCATCTGCAACGCCATAGTTTCTGTGACACTATTTTCCGGTATGTCTGGTCCCTCCTCTGCTGGTACATCATTGATCTCCACAGCTTCTTTATTCATCATCATTTTTTGCATCTCCTCTTCTAGGTGCACACACGCCTGTTCGATCTCGTAATTTTTCGACACCAAACCGACCCATTGTGCCTCGAGTGCCCTCAATTTGTCACCTCCTTGAGTCTGCATTGACTTCCTCTGCCAGTTGATCTCCTGAATCTTTTTCCTTAACATTTGTAATTGCTTCTGAGCCTGACTCACCAACTGAACTAATACCTCTAAATAAGATTTCCATGCTTCACAGCCATAATCCATCATCAGTTCCAAATTACAGATTCTAAAATTGTACAAATATATAGAAGATAGTATAGAAATTAAAAAGAATAGCCAGCGAAGTCTTTGTCTACCTAGTAGCCTGATGCTCCAATTGCGCACTGCTGTTTTCTACACTTTCATTCCATGCGGCTAAATCATTCAACTTGCCAGATGGAGGTGGTGGCAATTCGTAACGTTTCATACTAAGCACTTCCATTGGCAAGCGATTCTGCATCCTCTCGAATTCATGCTTAAGTACTTCTGTTTCAAAGGCAGTTATACACAGAGGTGGTAGATGTTCCAGATAATTTTTCGTTGGTCTGTAACGGCGTGTTTCTTCTTCCACCATCGCCAATGCCTGAAATATAATTCGAGCTCCAAATTCTTTGCGAGATAAAAGAAATACAAATACTTTTCCCTATCAGATCATTTTGTTAGATGACAAGAAAAAGACAACACGAGAAAAACTGCAAAAATAATAATCAATAATACATCAATAAAAATCTAAATGTATATAAATTTATATAAGTATGATTAGGTATAACATCTCGCCGGAAATATTAATTTTATTTATTCTGTGTTATACACATGCTTGATATTTTATTGTAAAAGAAATATAATTTTCATTTACCGCTTCTCGCACTCCCGGTTCATCGTATCCTTGATCGATATAGGGCAGAGCATCAACGATTACTTCTCCAGCCATAATATGTCAAAATAAGTTGGGTCCTGTAATTTCCTGTAAATAATTTATTCTTTGAATAACCTATCAGGCGTTACGTCAGAGAATAAAAAGTATAAAGAGATCGAACTGCAAACGAATATTTACAACATATCAAAATAATATCAAATTATTTTAAATAAAATCATATAAGCTACAAAATAAAAATTACATTTACAAATATAATTATTTAAAATTATAAAAAAATGTTAATAATTAATTTTAGTTCTTAAATAAGAATTTGAACATTGCCATTTGCAAATTAAGTGTTATGTGTTTTTTTATAATATTAAAATCAGTTTAGTTTTTATTAATGATGCAATTTATTATATAATAAACAGGTGATTAACACCTAAATACGTAAACGTTGTTGAATTAAATTTATTTTAACCTGAAAATGCGGACAATGTCCAAACCGACTCTACTGCGTTCTGAAACTCATCAAAAGAAAATCAATCTCGTCCACAGAGGATGTCTTATCTTATGAAATGCATTCCGCGGAATACACAGTGGTGTTTACTGGTGTTTACTTTTATCAGGCACAGTGAAACGCTACTCCATCCATGGAGTTTCATGCATTTTCATGCACTTTTAGTTTAAGTGGAGAAAGCTGCGACTGAGATTCGAGATTTGTAAAGAGAATTCGGAAGAACTCACTGCTGCATTCTATTGCCACTTTCAAAAGTGCATCATTTTATATTCGAAATACTAGTTACGTTCTTTCAGGATTTTCCGAACTGTGCACTCTCCCACGGTTTTTTTTATTGCAAAGACGCGTTGCATACGTGGATTCTTTTAAGTTTTTCAGTCCTGTTTGTTCCAGCGATACGATGATCACGGAGCTTTAAATTCTTGTCAGTCAGATTATTCTCGGTGATCATTACTCCGCGTACAATTTTCAGGTTAGTTATAAATGTATATTTATCGGCTGTTTTATGTTTATTCTATCAATGTAGATTAACTTTAATCTCGATTTAATTTATTTTTATCTTTTTTTGTAAATGTTAATGAATTTTGTAATTGTTAATGAATATCAATATCATAATTCAAGTAGTAATATCCAAAGATTTATTATTGAAAAAAGGTAAAATTTTTATCTTTGAAAATCAGAGATTTTTAGGAAATTTTATCGAAAATCTCAGGAAAATTTTTGCAAACTTTTAGATTTAAATTCTGTTTTTCTCTAGAAAGATTATTTCCTTAATAATTTTCTCTTGATGCTTGAAATGTTGATAATCAGTTAACTCTGATGAATTGAATGCATTATAGCGGATTATATGCCAGTTTCTAATATTTCTTTTTGATAATTATTTGAATGTGATATTCAAAACTTAAATGATTTTTCTTTGTGATTATATAATTAAGACACATTAAAAAATGCATATAATAAAATGATTATATTCTAAAATTGCATTAGAAATTTTTTTAATCTTATTTGGAATTTTGACTAAAATATTGGAAAAAATCTGGAATTCTCAGAGAATTTTTCATAATTTAAATATTTTTTATTTAAGATTTAAATAAATATCTTGTTTTAATCTATTTAATAAGACAATGTATTTTTTTATAAAATATTTTCGAAATTACAAAGTTAACATTAAATAATCTTCAGTATAACAAGGAACATAAATATTGAGGCATAATTATGGCTATGCATACCGTACCACCAAAACGGAAAGAAATCTACAAGTATGAGGCGCCATGGCCATTGTACAGTATGAACTGGTCAGTCAGACCTGACAAGAGATTTCGTTTAGCATTAGGAAGCTTTGTAGAGGAATACAACAACAAAGTACAAATCGTCTCGCTCGATGAAGAAACGTCTGAATTCAGTGCTAAAAGTACATTCGAACATCCTTATCCGACTACGAAAATTATGTGGATACCAGACAGCAAAGGTATTTATTTATTTAAGTTCTTTTTTTTATCAATTGCTTTAGACTTTGTCACATTAATGAAATAAACGAATATTGACCAGGTCTGTTTCCTGATCTTCTGGCCACATCCGGTGATTATCTGAGGGTATGGCGCGCTGGCGAGCCCGAATCTCGTTTGGAGTGCATTCTGAACAACAACAAGAATTCGGATTTTTGCGCGCCGCTCACATCTTTTGATTGGAACGAAGTAGATCCGAATTTAATCGGGACTTCTAGCATAGATACTACCTGTACTATTTGGGGATTGGAGACAGGGCAGGTTCTGGGTAGAGGAATGGTCACCGGTCACGTGAAGACGCAATTGATCGCGCACGACAAAGAGGTGTACGACATCGCGTTTAGTCGCGCTGGTGGTGGCCGCGACATGTTTGCCTCTGTCGGCGCTGACGGGTCCGTGAGGATGTTCGATCTACGACACTTGGAGCATTCGACGATAATCTATGAGGATCCGCAGCACACTCCACTATTGCGATTAGCGTGGAACAAGCAGGATCCCAATTATTTAGCTACTGTGGCGATGGACGCTTGCGAGGTCATTATTCTAGATGTTCGCGTGCCGTGCACGCCAGTTGCAAGATTGAACAATCACAGGTTAATATAAAAATGGTTTAATATGAACCATCTATTTTTAGTTACGACTGTTACATACAACTTACGTTGATTAATTACGCTCCTTTTGATTACAGAGCTAGCGTTAATGGAATAGCCTGGGCCCCGCATTCGTCCTGTCACATTTGCACAGCCGGCGATGATCATCAAGCTTTAATCTGGGATATACAGCAAATGCCAAGAGCGATAGAAGATCCCATACTCGCTTACACTGCTGCGGAAGGCGAGGTCAATCAGATTCAATGGGGTGCCACGCAGCCCGATTGGATAGCCATTTGTTACAACAAAGCGGCTGAGATTCTCCGAGTATAAATGAGAAATCTTTATCAATTTATTTTATACCGAATTGATATTTGAATAGACATTATTAAAATTAATTTTTTTATTACCGATGCATAAGATATATATTCTATTCCGGAAAGAATAATTAAAACTTGATTCGATGCGTTTCGCAATTGTACATATGTTAAATATCTTAACTTAATAATATTAAGGATTGTTTCTCGTGATTATGGATACTTAAATCATGTCAATACATAATTATTCATACATTAATCATTTAAATGTCATTCTGAAATTAGGGAAATAGTTTTATGACTATTATTATAGCGATATCAGATTGAATTTTTAGCAACATAACATTAATTAGTTCACAGAATATGTGATTACATTTTGTGATTACAATTTTTAGTATGTAATGTACAGATTTTTATATAGATGTAAATTTTTTATATATAAGAATATTTGTAATGACAACTTATGAATATATATATACGACTGTATCGTCACTGATAGAAATATCAAACTCACAATTTAATTTAAAAAACCTTTATCATATAATGTTTATTGATAATTCAAAACGTATTACGCAAATATTCGATTAGAGTTGATATCTGTGGGAAGGTATATCAGTAATTAATAAAAGTAAAAATTACAAAACCAATATATGCATATATTATTATATGAGATATGATTACAAATGTTAAATGAGCAAAATGCAGTTATTTACAATGAACTGCGCTACGAATTTGTAGATCAGACAATTAGTATAAAGTGATTGTGCGACGATTCATTCCTTCATTTTTACATATACTGATATCACTGCTACATTTATATCTATATCATTTTTTTTAGTGTGCAATCTTTACTAGTTGAATAAATATCATTAACTCTGATACAGAGTAAACAAACTTTTATTGCCTTCAATGTAATAGCAACGATCTTATTCGCGAAATATGTCGCTATAAAATATTTTTAACAATTTTTAAGCATTTTATTAAACAAGCCACGATTTTCCATACTTGAAATACTTTCTAATCTAATCATTAATACATTTTTTTAGCGGAGTTTAATTGTTCTCACGCTTATATAAGAGAAATACGCTTTGGCAAAAATCTATGCCTTAAAGCTTTGAAAAAAATATATATAAAAATATTTTATATATCCTAAGTCTCATATTTTCGTCCGAGATATCTATTATTTACATTAGAAGCATCGAATTACCTCATGCCAAATAAATTATCTCCATTCAATCTCTAGACATTCTCACAAATTGCATGCACGCGTTTCGCACTTACTTTCAGCAATAATTTATACATACCAATGAATTATAAGCAGATCATATTTGTGAGAAATGTTGCTGATCTTTTACCTTCGTCTCAACTTGATTCTCTCTTGAATCAAGGGCTCCCGGCTAGTGCTCTGAAGATAAGTCACAATGTGACTTATGTCATGCAAATAATTATTGTCTATTCTGATCTGAATACTTATTCTACTAATATAGAATAAGTTCAGACTACTAGTACTAATATATCTCGATATTTTCGAAGTTTTAAATTCAAGGCAGCTGCATTGAAAAACTCGTTATACAGTCCAACTTGTTGCAAGTAACTTTAATGGCAGGAAAAATCACATCTTGCACCATCAGGTCTGAATACTTTGGTGCATTTAGACTTTCGTTACTACCGTACGAGACACGTGCTTTTCTCAAAGTTATTCTCTAGAATCTATGCTTTCCTTTCGAGAATCTCTTTGAGCTCTCGAACGAATGCACGTACAAATTTTATTGTTATAGAGCACACAATTTGCTCGCTATATAATAAAGATGAAGCACCGTGCACGCCATAGTGAGCATGTTTCCCATAGCTATACACACGTGCACTCGGCGGAACGCTTGATGGATCTTCAAGTAATGCGGACAGTTCTTGAGCGGTCCTGGATTGTGACGGCCAATCTCATTGCCGACGCCTGCTGCACGTTCAAAGTTGTGTTTCGTCACGATCAGCTGGAGAAGCGGGGGTGTTAAATAGAGGCGTATCAGTAGCTCTAAGAAAAAGGCTCCGGACATCGCGCCGACCTACATATAACACAAATTTTTATTGTTATTTCTCTCGGAATTTTTATTACAAACTTGAAATGAAATGAAAAATTAATTTGCAGAAAAAATTAAATTATATCAGTCATTTTTAGATATATAATTAAAGTGTATTTTATTAAAATATTATAATACAAAAGTAAAATTCATATTTCTAATATGAATAATAATTTTACTGTCTACCTGAACGGCAATTTCGGTGTCCCATGTGTGTGTCGGATGATGCTTGACGAATATGAGGAGCGTGGTGAGACTTAAACACGCGTTAATTGTAAAGTATCTCGGGAACAGGACTCGCTGCACCTCACCGAATGCATGTCGTGGCAGTGCAAAGTATAAGGATAGACCTGCAAAAATAAATGCGTGATTTCAGAGAAAGTCAATTATAAAAATCCAAATCGAATTGGAGAACGAAGAGGCTCGAGGAATTATTTCGTTCTTACATACGTACATTTAATTTCTTGATAAATATATTATTTATTTTTTTTTTTTATATACGAATATACATACCTGATACAAAAGTCATCCAAATTTGAGCTCCAAAATGTACGACGAAGGATGCGAGATAAATGAAAGATGTCATTCTTGAGTGAGGATGGCCAGGGACCTGTACCCTTTCCTTGATAGGAAAAAGAACCGATGTGACGAACAAGACTGCGATAATCATGATCACGTGTGCGGGTTGCGTCGTGTAAAAAAGAATCCTGCAAAAAAATAATTGCAAACTTGGTAAATCTTGGTGCCTTTCGTGGAAATAATTTCGTAAAAAAAAAAACCAATTAAGAAAAATTTCGAATTGATCGAAAAATTTGAAAATGTAAATTTTCATCTTTTCATTTTTTATCTTTTCATCCTTATTTGTATAAGTTAGATTCGATGAAAGCCAGATCTCTTCTTTCTTACATATATTGTTATCGCCGTTGGAAAATTCTGATAACCCATATACTTTTTTTGCGATATGCTATCATCAGGCAAGGAAACCACTCTGCGTATCTTAGCTTAATTAGATAATTCGTAAAGTACCTTGAACTATTGATTCACACATAGACTCGTGACACGGCCGCGATATCAGCAATCGAATTTTTGTCACGTGCAATTTTCCCCGTTAGATAATTCATAGTATGCCTCATTTAACATACTGATTTATGCGTGTGCTGTAACATGACGTCAAAGTCAAATAAATCCGTCGAGACTAAAGGCAAATGCTCTACTCTACGTTTGCTGCCAATATAAGCAATCATGATTGACATCCATATAGATTCGTTTGCATTTCGTCCTCAATTGAATCGGAGAATTTCATTTCGCGAAACGATATATTTATGATATATATCGCTTTGAATATATATATATATATATATATATATATATATATATATATATATATATATATAAGTAG